TACTCAAACACCATTGTACAGCCATATTCTTGCAAATAAAGATTATTATTATTATAAACTTCCTGACTCCATAACTGATTTTTGTTGGCCCGATACGGGATTCGAACCCGGAACCACATGGATAGTATTCGTGCTTACGACCACTAGATCAACGGGGCGACTGCGCCGTCACGATCCATACTCGCATAGGATCTATCTAGGATAGGCCTTATGCTACTTTGGACCCAAAATAAAAAAAATTGTCCAGTCTTATTGGATTAGCTCTCCCCTAACCTTTCAGCGCATTCCGACACGACTTTACACTCAACGTTGAGAGTACGCGGGAGTGAGATTGTTATACCTATAAACATTTCTCTATAACACATAACAATGAGAGGCTTCCAAATTATTCATAAAGAACCCCGCTGATCCTTCAAGTAAGTGACACAAAAGCGCGCGAGGTGTGAATTCAAGTTTGACAATTCAACAAAAGATTTTGACAGCTCAATGCCTTTTTTAAAATACAAAAGCCGAGGAAGCCGGTTGGGGTAATTGTTTTTTTTTTTGACGTCTCAAGCAAAGGACGTCTTAGTTTTAGTGCCTCTACTTTTTAAGTTTTCAATTAAATATTAATTTAAGTAAATCCGCCTGCGTACAATGTATTAATGTGGTGTTATTTCGATTTACGATCAAATACCTTATATGTTTTATCATTTTTTTTTGATTAAATAAATATAGCCTGGATCAATCCTGATATTGCTCGCTTTCTGTTTGTCGAGTTTCATTTTAATCGGTTCAGTCATTTCGAAGATTCCCCGAACAAACAGACAGAAATTTTAAAAATAGTTATTTATGCTATATTTTGGTTGTAGCACGAATGTGTCGGCTCGACCGGTGAAGTCTGGTATGTGAGTGTAGAGAACCATAGACACTTTTTTTTCGAACTTATATATATAACACGATATTATAACGAAATATACATAAAAAAACTTAAGAAAAAACTTCTTATTGTTAAAAAAATTACAAAATCTGAACCCGATAGGTGGAGCTATGGTAGAGTTATAACTAAACATCGATATATATGGACTACGCACTAGATTTCGCATTTCGAACATTGACTATTTTCAACTGAACTGTACTGCAATCCGTACACTGAACTAAATATTGCGTAAATTGCAGATTTGTGAATTCTATAAGATGATTATTATTACACTTAATTTAGAAATATGTTTGTTTAGATTAAAATTTGAGTATTTTATATTAAATTGTTGTATTTATTTAATATTAATATCTTATATATTTTACTAGCGATCCACCCCGGTTTTGCTCTAGTAATTCCTGGACCTCGACAACAGCACCACCCACCGGGTCCAATTGTGAATATAAGTCATGTTCGAATCAACTTAACCACGCACACAAAATTTCGTTAAAATCGGTTCAGCCGTTTAGGAGTTAAGTCACATACACACGGACAGAAAATTATATATAATATACCTATATATATATAAAGATATTCAAACTGAAAAAGTAGTGGCCAAAGCACAGGTAGCTTGTAAATATACCTTAAAGTCCATTAGTGTTCAAAGATAAGGTAAGTGGGGTTCACTCCTGGGTCGCGCCTATCTCACTCGCTGTTATGGACTTATATGTAATGCATAGTTTATCATTATAGTCCATACGATTGATGCATTTATACTTCTGTAAAGGTACGCCTGCTTTTAAAATTATGGAGTGAAATGAGCCATCTGGTTTAGATTTAAATACCGACCCTTTTGGCTTAGGTGAAACTAATTTTTGTTATTAGAGCACTTATTTTTAAAATTGTGATGACACAATTTTACGTCGTAGAGCCACGCTGCAGCTATATTATCTTTGTAGCACTATTGGGTCGGCTCACCGGGGAAGGACCACGTTCTGACAGAATACCAGCGTAAAATAGCAGCTTTCACGCTGCTGTGTTCCGTATGGTGATTGTAGAGAACCGGAGACCCCTATTACTGGAAATTAGGCATTCTATCTTTAGCCTTAGATGTGACAACGCGTCTAAATTATGTAGTTTTTTAATGCTTAGGGGAAGATTTTATACAAATTTATATGGAATCACCCATTCAATAAAAATTCAAATTCATTAAGTTCGGTACACAATGAGGGTATTCACGAATTTTCTGCCACCAGGGTGGCGCCAATTAAAAATGAAGTGTAATATTTGACAGATTTTATAGCGGGGAAGTTAACAAACCATTGAGGCATTGTTTTGTGTATTAATTTAATACTCTAGAAACTGATAAACTTTTATTAAAAACATCTTCTCAATTAAATTACATTGTGTAACAAAAAATTTTATCTCAGTGTCAACTAGCGACATCTGGTAATTCTTTATGAATTCGGCTAAATCATTGTGTCGTCCACGAGTATAGAATGTCAGTAGGAAATTACTTCACGATTTGCAATATGGACGACCGGACACTGTCCTTAAATGAGTTAAAACGTTTCTGAATCAATTTACCAATCAAATCAACTACCATTAAATATTATGTTTGATTGAATAATTAATAATGAATATGTCACGTCGTAGAGCCACGTTGCAGCTATATTATGGTTGAAGCAAAAGTCGGCTCAAAGGACCACGCTCTCACAGAATACCAGCGTGAAATAGCAGCTTAACGCTGCTGTGTTTCGTGTGGTGAGTGTAGAGAACCAGAGACCCTTTTTACTGGAAACGAGGCATTCCATCTTAGTCCTCACGGGTGACATTTTGATTTTCAATCGAGGATAAATGTAGATATCTGTGGGCTGCAGCATCCTCTTCCACACACAACATCAGATGGACTGTATCCTCGTTTATCACGCTTGTTCTATATTAATAAAAAACGTAATTGACCGTGCAGTGTTAACGTAAGAATATCCACTACCCCATATCATCCCGCGGGTGTCGTAAGAAGCGACAGAGGGAAACAAATCAGGAGACGGGCAGCAGCGTCTTCCTAATAACTACTAAAAAATAAACTGGTTGCCAACTAGCCAGTCCATCGGGGCAATTATGGCACATATCCCCCGCTAGAAGGCAATCTATGAGGCAGGCTTCATGTAGATTATGTTTATACGTGGTAGATCCATGCTGCAGCTATATTATGGTTGTGGCACGAATGGATCACCTCGACGGGAGAAGGACCACGCTCTCATGAACACCAGCGTAAAATAGCAGGTCAATGCTGCTGCGTTTCGTATAGTGAGTGTAGAGTACCGAAGATTCTTTTTACTCGAAACGAGGCATTCCATCTTAGTCCTCACGGTTGACAAGGCATCTTGACAATAAGACAATGTGGTTAGGTGTAGATGTCTATGGGCCACAGCATCTACTTACCATCAGGTGGACTGTGTGCTCGCTTGTCACCCTTATCATATAAAAAAGAAGATAGAATGAATGAGGTTAGAGTTAACGTTACCGTTACAGCCTATTAAAGTCCACTGCTGAACATAGGTCTCCCCCAAAGATTGCCTCATAGAAGGGATATTTGCCATAGTTGTAATGTTACTGTTGATTTTAAATTTTCACCTCTCAGTGGGTCATGTGCTCCTGGTAGATTATCTTCTATACATCTGCTGAACATAGTCCTCCTCCATAGATTGCCTCATAGGGTTTATATTTGCCATAATTGTAATGTGATGGTTGATTTGAAAATTTCACCTCTCAGTGGGTCATGTGCTCCTGGTAGATTATCTTCTATACATCCATCCATTACAGCCTATTAAAGTCCACTATTGCTGAACATAGGCCTCCTCCCCCATAGATTGCCTACCTAGTGAAGATTTTGGCATAGTTGCCACGGTTGGCAGTTTATTTTTTAATAAATTAGAGCTGTTATTAGAAAGATGCTACTCCTCATTTCCTAATTTGTTTCCCTCTGTCGCCTCTTACGACACCCACGGGACGAAGGTTAGTGGATATTTTTACATCGCCACTCTACGCTCAAAAACATAATTAAAGACCAGGAAATATTTGCATTAAAATAAATCTATTTTAATAAAGGCTTAATAAAAGCAAATTACTCCATTCGTCTGTGACAAATACAGATGCTAGCAATTGACCCAGCCGGGCACTGAGCTCGTAAATCTGGTGCCGATGACTACTGAACATTGGTGACCTATTCTGAACTCGACCGGGCACAATTGAATGTTTTATCTATCCTATGTTTGTTCATTCGTTGCATATTGTAGAGGACTCCGTGGCGTAGTGGCTTAGCATTGAGTTGCGGTGTGGGTTGCGGGTTCGAATCCCGCATAAAACAAGTATTTTGTATGACCTACTAATAATTATTCCAGGTTAAAGAAGCGAGAAAGGTGTGCCAGGATGGTGACGAATGAAAGTTTGTAGACTCTGCCTATTCTTTTGGGTGATAGGCGTGATTATTTATGTATGTTTATTTAGTCATGTTTTTTTTTAATAGAATAAGGGTGACAACTCGTTTGTCAACACACAGTCCACGTTACGACAAGTGGATGATGTGGCCTCATACACATCTACGTCTATCCTCACCTATGAGGACCAAGATGGAACGCCTCGTTTCCAGTAAAAAGGATCTTCGGTTCTCTTCACTCACCATACGAAATACGACAGCATTGAGCTTCTATTTTACGCTGGTATTCTATCAGAGCGTGGTGCTTCCCGGTAGAGCCGATCCATTCGTGCTACAACCATAATATAGCTACAGCATGTCTCTACAAATAAATATGTACGGATACAATAAAGCGGGGCGCGACTCGTACTTGGCTGATTTTTTCTACCGAGTTCAAAAAGGAGCCGGTACTTCTTACTATGTGAACCGATTTCGATGATTTTTTATTTGAAAGCTGGTGCTTCACATGTGGTCCCATATAAATTTGATCAAAGTCTGACCAATAGCTTTTGAGTTATTCTTAATAATTTATATTGAAGTCGGTTGTACAAAATTATTAATAATCAATGTAATCATGACCGTTTGTTCCAGATGACTTAGAACCCTGACCATCACAACTCTCCGATGTGGTCGCTGTCGCTGCTGGCGCTGCTGGCGCTGCCTCTGTCGGCACTTGCCGCCGCAGGCACTTGCCCCTGGGCGTGCGCTTGCCGGCCCGCAACTCTCGACTGTGCTCACCGAGGCCTCTTGCACACTCCGAGGAGGCTGCCCACAGATGTTCATCGAATGTGAGTGCTATTATTTTCTTGTTTAACCTGTTCGCTTCCAGCTGTCACATTATGTAGGGATGCAACATGAATGAGATATCGATAGTAATATCGAAGGGCTGTAAATATTAATGAGCAACATATCACTTGTTCCAAAGCGATTTTATTAATATTTAAGTATACTTTTAAATATATTTTTTTATATATAATGGTAAGTGACTACCGCCGCCCATGAACAACTGCAACACCGGGGGAATTACAGATGCGGTGCCGGTCTTTTAAAAAAATGTACGCTCTTTTCTTGAGGATCGAAAAAAATGCTGGTGGTGGTTGTTTCATCAAGGAAGTTGTGCGAAGAATAAAATTTCTAGTAAATCGTACAGTGGTGCACCGCGAATCAATTAATATGTTAAAACTAAGATATTGAAATAAGTCTATTGGAGTATTCGTTGAAATTATCTATGATTTTTTTTTAAATTTACCACGTGCTCTGCTGTGAAGGAAAACATCGTGAGGAAACTTGCATGTCTGAAAAATAAGAAAAAAAAATATTTCAACGACATGCGAAGTTCACCAACACGCATTGGGGCAGTGCGGCAGACAGTACCTTGCCCTAGACCCTCTCAGAAATGAGAGGAGGCCTGTGCCCAGCAGTGGGACGTATATAGGCTGCAACTTTAACTTTTATGGGTTTCACAAATGTGAGTTTGTAATAAAATAAACCATCAAAATACACTATAAAGTCATGTCTCCCTATTTGTTGTATCGATCAAACCCAAGAACAATAGTTTTGAGAGTTTTTTCCAAGCATCCGTTTCTAGTTGGCTTAGTAATTTTTATGGTTTGACATGAGCAGCGACGTTTGACGTGTTTCCAGTAATTCGTGGGTTCGAATCCGCCATTAGAATACAGTCTATATCTTTCCATTAGTGTCATAAGCGGCAACAGAGGAAAATTGAGATAGCATCTTTCTGATTAAATAAAAAACTACAATAAAAAATGCGGTTGCCAACCCGTTAGCCAAGCATGGCAACCATGCCAAACATCCCTTCACGAGCAACCGTCTAATATCTACATTATTAAATTGCATATCCTTTAGCCATACACACGCAGTACGCTTCCCTACTTCCCGTTTGAAAATACGTCGCAAAATTTCCCAGCTACTGTCCCACGGGACGTATTCCCCGAATGTATTTTCCACGGGCACTATCACCATAACAATGCCTTGAAAATTTCCAAAAAATATCCTTTATAATACCATTCCACAACTCATATATCTACGCGAATTTCATTCGTAAGTTCATGAAAATAAAGTTGATATTCATTTAATATAATAACATGATGCAAGCACTACTTGTGTGATGTACTGTATAGTTTATATCAAAAATTGAAGTACATGCAATAATGGTCTGTATTTTTTACAAAGAAAAGACTGTAATAGCATAACAGGATTAAACAATCGCATAATGCAACTATTCTTTGTCATATTTTAAGGCAATTTTAGTCCTTATTATAGAGGACATAAAGTTTGATTATAAGGAAAATAGTTTATCGGTATGGTGGTTCTTGCGGTGGCAATTTTCTTTGCATTCCCCATAGGGTGCGTTTTATGTTGTATTACGCTAGAGGTTGTGCATAGAGTATAAAGCGACAGAGGCGTTACGACCGTATTGGATTTGCCCTTTAATATTGATGAAACGAGTTTGGACTAATGCAATGATGCTTTAGGGCTCAGTATGATATCATCAGTCTTGTAGGTGTTGGAAGTATCGACAATGTTTGATATCAAAGTAATAAAATAAAAAAAAATTAAAATCGATTCCAAAGACTAAAAATAATAAAATCATTTCCTCATAATTTATTAGGTTCTGATCTATCATCATCATCATCATCAGTACAGCCCTTCACAAGTCCACTGCTGAACACAGGCCTCATCCAAGGAATGCTACATAGCACGATCATGAGCCACTTGCATCCATGATCATCATCCAACCATGCATGCGTGTCACGAGGCTACCACTCGAGAACATTTCTTCCCCATGGGTTGTCGGTTCTTCAAGCTATATAGCCAGCCCATTGCCACTTCGGCCTACTAATCAGTTCTGATTTATGCTAAAACAAAATCTATCGAAAGGTTAAAGCCTTGTCTTCAGACATCGGTTTAATAATTTACATTACTTAAAGTTAAATTCTTATATATATCCTTACACTTCGCCTCGTACCGGTAGGCGAAGTGTAGGGCGACCCCCCCACTAGATGGAGTGGCGACCTGATAAGACATGCAGGAAGTTGGTGGATGCAGGTGGCACGGGACCGTGCTTTCTGGCATTCCTTGGGGGAGACCTATGTTCAGCAGTGGATTTGTGAAGGGCTGTAATGATGATGCAAATTAAATTGGGTAAATAACTCCTTACATTACTACCATACATACCATTATCACGATCTCAAGGTGACAATGAAAGAAGACACAGGATTCCTAAACTATATATAATCCACAAATTGCGGCCCGCAGTTCAGGTACCCTGCTATTTTTTCTCGGCGAACAGACTAGCCCTCAGGGACGACGACGGATCTGCATAATGATTCTGAATATTATTCTATAACAAGGCCCATGTCCGTGTATAATTGGTGGTATAAGAGAGACCTATGTGTACCTAAGACACCTAAGTGGACTGTTACAGGTTAAGGATGTGACAAAAATACGAATAATCATTGAGTTATATGTACTACGTACTAGAGAAGCCATTCCGAACATTGACTATGTTCAACTGAACTGTACTGCAATCCGTACAAACTAAATACTGCGTAACTTGCATGCGCGACCACGACATAGAGTAGGACACATTTTTTGTTTGGAATGCCTTCACTAGTACGTAGTACATTTTTTTTATAGGATCGAGTGACAAACGTACAACTCAATGCGAATAATAAATTTAATTACAAGCACAAAGTCCCCCTTATGGTAAGTGGCTCATAAATATCAACATCCTGGGTTCAGAATCAAATGCATATGCGTTGCTATTTTACGCTGATATTTTGTGAGAGCGCGGTCCTTCCTCGGTCGAACCAATCCATTTGCAATACCACCATAATCTAGCTGCAGCGTGGCTCTACTACATAAATATTACAACTTTCTTTACTAACTAATACTTACACTGAGTTGTTAAATATACAACTATCTTACTCTGTTACTTTGCATTACTCTGTGGTCTTCGTTATTACAAAGTGAGGGTGGCGCTCTATACGGCGTCTTTAATATCAATAAGCAGTCTCCTAGAAAAGTGATAACATACAATTAGGTACGGTCTTTTGTCAAAATTCTTTTATAGAAGTGGAAGGTTTTTCGGGTCGATACGACTTAGGGACCTTCAAGAAACGAGCTTACTCCTTTTTAGGGTTCCGTACCCGAAAGGTAACCAACGGCACCCTATTACTAAGCCTTCACTGACCATCCGTCTTTACGTGCCTCCGTCCGTCCGTCTGTCTGTCTCTCTCTCTCTCTCATCTCTTCTCATGATCTGTAACAGGTAGACAGTTGAAATTTTCACAGAATGTGTGTTTCTGTTGCCGCTATAACAACTAATAATAACAATTCTTCAACTCCACGTGGTAGAGCCATGCTGCAGCTATATTAGTGGTATGGTTGTAGCACGAATGGGTCGGCTGAACCGGGATAGGACCACGCTCTCACAGAATACCGGCGTAAAATAGCAGCTTAATGCTGCTGTGTTTCGTATGGTGAGTGTAGAGAACCGGAGACCCTTTTTACTGGAAACGAGGCATTTCATCTCAGTCCTCAAGGGTGATTTTCGACAAATTTACTTGAAATTCACATATCATTCAATTTCAATGAATGTATCATCATTTCTAATTAAACAACATAACTCTTGCAAATTTAAAACGATATTTCCATAATTATTTCTTCGACGTCAACAACGCGCCGGTACCAGCCAGTAATGTGATATAACAGATAATATTCAATCTATGAAACACGCCTGCGTTCATTAATGGATTTTAGATAGGCGGTAATCGATGAATGAAAATTAATTAAATCGTCACTCCATCTAGTAAAGGATGGTTTACAATTCAATTACTAGTACAAGGCCAAGGTTTAGCTTAGTAAAAAGTACCTGGTTACGATAGTTTCATAAATATATAAATGCTAACGTCTACCGTACGAGTTTAATTACAAACTGACCAATTATTAATTGCATCGTGGATAAAAAAACTGTTATTTAGGAGAGTTTAAATTTTTTTTTTTACAAAAAGTATAGCTTATATCCTATTCTGGTTTGGTATATTTAATATTGTAATAATATTTAATATGTTCAGTTCCGTTCAGTAGTTTTTACGTGATGGTGCAACAAACAAACAAACTTTCACATTTATAATATTAGTAGAATTAAAAAATATATATAAAAATGTTTTTATAGAATATAATGGAATAGAATAATTTTTTAATCCATATACATTACATGTGTACCTGTAGTCGTTGTGACCTGTAGTCGTTTCTGCGAACGGGTTAATCCCAGTCAGCCTCTCGGGTCATCTGAGGCGGCTGGGACTCCGTGACGGACCGCTCCAAGCTCAAATGCAGAAGGCGGTGCTCCTCGATACCGCCCGCATCGTCCGCCGGTTTCTTTCCCTTTCCCCTTAACCCTCGGCCGTCTGGTCTCCCCTGCCGAGGGCTTTTATCTGGTTGGGTTTTTATTTATTAAAATATGACGAAGTACCTAAATAATGGTATATCTAAATTAGTAAATTGGTTCAATGTTGAGCTTGCATTTTTTTGAGCTTTTGTTTGGAATCCCGAAACGGAATTCCGTTCGCTTTTACAACAAAAATATACAAAATTTAACCTGCTCAAAGTTAAAAAAGTTTATTAAACAAAGTTTGTATAAAAAGATTTATTATAATATTAAGGTATTTATGGATGATAATAACCCCTGGGAATGAGGTGATCGCTACCAAGCTATTTCTAATGTATTTTTGTTAATTGTGATTAAATGTTTGTAAGCTGT